TTATTTTTAAGAAGGCGAAGTACCCTGGCGAAACGCTGCGTTTCAGCCTCTGCAAACAAGTGCCAGGGCCGAGATAAAGGGCTCCCTCGGCCTGCTCATGGCCGTGATTTATCAGGCACAAACAGATGCTATAGTTGACGGAGGTACTGTTTCGGGGAGGAACGTCTGATTGTCTAGCAAGAAGACCATGAAGCCATTGCACGTAGATTTAGGATGTGATTTTTCTTATGTGTGTTTGTACTTTGCCATGACCTGGCTGTTTCCTTGTAAACGTGTCCCCCCCTTTAAACTAAATGAATAAAATGAAGTATGATTTTTTGGTTCGTCTTCGCCGTGTTGCATACTCCACTTTTGTCATTTGTGAATCTTTATAATTCTTTCACGGCCATCTCCCATAATGACGGGGCGTATCTCTTCAAATACTAGCCGTTGATCGGTAAGTTGTGCCACTCTCCATCCCTGTCTTTTAACTGAAATGCCCCTCGGCCAAGAATTCGTTCGATAATGAACGGCCCTTCCCAATTGGGTGAAAATTTGCCGAACCGAGGGTCCTTTGTCCTGATAGGGAGCACGGCTCGCCAAACTAGGTCGCCTTCGGCGAAGGTTTTTTGCTTGACCTTTTTGTTGTAAGCCCTCGCCGAAATCTGCTTCTGTGCCTGCATTAGGTTATAAGCATCGAGTCTGGATTGCTCCAAATCTTCCAACTCCTGAGCCATGGCCTGCGCATAATCCTTCCCCTCTTGTCCAGGCTGTTCAGCCACATGGAGAGACCGAACCTTTAATTCCATTGGAACGATGGCGTCGTGACCGTAGGTTAAGGCGTAAGGAGATGTGCCCGTGGCCGACCGCTTTGAGATTCGGTAAGCCCAAAGAGCTTCGGGGAGTAAGTCGTGCCATGCCCTAGGTTTCTCCTCAACCATTTTGTCAAGGATGCCCTTGATTACCTTGTTACTTGCCTCGGCCTGTCCGTTAGACTGAGGGTAGTAAGGTGTTGAGTAGACCAATTTGATCCCCAGCCTTTCGGTGTATTCCCGAGTCTCGGTCGACGCGAAAACTGGGCCGTTAGGACTCGGCCTCGACCCATTTAGTGAAATAGTCGGTCGCCACCAAAATCCATGCATGTTGGTTGGATTCGGCCGGATGGATTTTGCCAATGATATCCACGGCCCATCCTCTGAACGGCCATGGTTTGGTAACCGGGTGGAGGGCTTCGGCCGGTACTCTTTGTATGGGGCCGTAGATTTGACATTTGATACATCCTTTTGCATATTCTATGCAGTCCTTTAAAATGGTCGGCCAGTAATAACCGTTCCTCCGAACCAGCCATCTCATCTTGACACCAGATTGATGGGCACTGCAAATCCCCTCGTGAGATTCGGGCATGATGACCTTGATGTCTTCGGCGTTGGGACATAGGAGTAATAAGCCGTCCGATCCCTTTCGATACAACTCGTTCTGATAAATCAAATAACACCGAGCTCGGAAACGTGTAGTCCTCTCATGGCTGCCGGAAGGGTCACGCAAATATTTTACTATGGGGTAGCGCCAGTCGGCTTCGGCCGTGTTGACCTCGTCGCTAATCTCGGCCGAAGATACTTGCGTTGCCATTCCGCGTTCGGCCAAAGCCGGTAGGGTACGCCTCTTGATTCCCGGGATGTTCACGACTGACGCCACCTGGGCCATCTCGTTGGCCTCATGGTTTTCGGCGCGTGGTACGTGAACAAAGGAAATCCTAGAAAATACGTCGGCCGTATTGAGGGCCGTTACATAATACATAGTGAGATTCTCGCTCGTGCATTGGTATTCCCCGGTCAACTGATTAATTACCAACTGAGAGTCACCGTAGACTAGAACACGGGTTGCCTTTATTTCTTTCAGGATTTCGAGACCGATGATGAGTGCTTCGTATTCGGCCTGGTTGTTGGTGCACTTGAAGTCGAGTTGGAAAGCGACCTGCCATCTCTGCCCTTGAGGGGATTCGATCACGACTCCGGCCCCTAACCTGGCCTCGGTACTGGAGCCGTCGAAGTACATGGTCCAGTAGTTCTTTTCCATGCGGGCCATGCCGATCTCGACCTCCAACTCTCCCTCCTTTCCCTGGGCCGGGTGATGAGCCAGGAAATCGGCCAATGCCTGACCTTTGACCGATTTCTGAGCCACATATTGAAAGGTAAATTCCGACAATGCCATCGTCCACTTCCCAATTCGGCCGCGTATAATCGGCTGAGTGAGCATGTATTTGATAAGATCAGTCTTGGAGATGATCTGGACGACCGAAGGAAGCATATAATGCCGTAACTTGGTGGCCGCTTAATAAAGCGCTAGGCACAATTTCTCGATCGGCGAATAGTTTAGTTCGGCCGTGTTGAGGGTGCGGCTTAGATAGTGCACCCCTTACTCTCGTTCAGATTCGTTGTTTTGAGCCAACAGGCAGCCAATAGAACCTTTTGAAGCCGAAATGTAAAGCCTCAAAGGTTTCCCTCTTTTCGGCAGCATAAGGACTGGTGGTTGAGACAGATACTTCTTGATGTCATCGAGGGCGGCTTGATGTTATGCTCCCCATACGAACTGTTCCGTGTCCTTTAGTTTGAGCAGAGGAGTCAACGGTCGGATTTTTCCTGCCAAGTTGGATATGAACCGTCGTAAAAAGTTGACCTTGCCGAGGAAGGATTAGAGCTCCTTCTTGGTTCTCAGTGGAGGGGCCGCCATAATGGCCGTAGCTTTATTTTTATCTACCTCGATTCCTCGTTGGTGAACCAAGAAACCGAGGAAATTCCCGGCGGTGACGCTGAATGCACATTTCTTGGGGTTCATTTTTAGGCCGTGTGCTTGCATTCGGTTGAAAGCTTGTCGGAGATGTCCTACGTGGTCGGCTTTGGACGGGGACTTTACAACGACGTCGTCAATGTAGACTTCCACGGTCCGGCCTATAAGGTCGTGGAAAATCAGGTTCATAGCTCGTTGGTATGTTGCGCCGGCATTCTTTAGGCCGAACGGCATGACTACCCATTCATAGGTTCCGATTGCTCCTTGACACCTAAACGCCATTTTGTGGACATCCTCTTCGGCCACGAAAATTTGGTTGTAACCTGCATGGCCGTCCATGAAAGACAGGAGTTCGTGCTTTGCGGCTCCGTCTACCAAGAGGTCTGACATAGGCATGGGGTATTCATCCTTGGGGGTTGCGAGGTTCAGATTTCGGTAATCGGTGCAAACCCTTAGGGCCTCGGTCCTCTTTAAAACTGGTACAATGTTGGCCAACCACTCAACGTACCGGGCCGTTCGGATGAAGCCGGCTTTAAGGAGCCGTTCAATTTCCTCCTTGACCCTAAGCTGGAC